TTAATCTCATGTTACTCGTATGATAAGAAAAGTGCGAGGTTGCTGGGTTTTATGTAAAGCCAGCAAGTGAAGGGATTTGTGATGTCCCCACATAAAATGACATTTATGACCCCACATAAAATGACATTTATGAATTGTGAATGGAAGTATGATAAATTAAAATAGAGAGACAGAAAAAAAAAGTTCAAAATAATATTCGAATCCCAAAAATTCAAGGTTCTATCGATGTATGCCAAAGAAAAAGAGATTGTATTAAGTGCAACAAGGAACCGGCAAGGGATATCTTGTCCACGTGAACTTCACGTACGTGCATATATTAGTGCCCTTTGGTGTATTAATATAAGATTGCAATTAAGCTTGGTTACTTTCTCAATCAAAGTGAAAAGATGTGACGCATTCGACATTTCATTTTCCGTGTAATTTTTTTTTTCCACCTTTTTCTGGAAAAAGAAACTAACAGCGAGTTTTTTGCTATTTAAAACAGTTCAAGCTTTTCTTTTGAATTTTTTGTTTACATATTTGAGATTCTGAATTCACAACATCCATATAGATCTAAACCAGTTTTGGTTTTTTATTTTGTTGGATTTACAAAACATAAAATATACTACCTCCATTTTTTTATATTTGACGTTTTATCAAAAAAAATTTGTTTCAAATTATTTGACGTTTTTTATGTAAAAGTTATTACTAATTAAAGTTAGATGACCAATAATATAATATTTTATTATTGGTTGAATTGTGGTTATGTAACAATTATTGATGTTTTTTAGAAAATAAAATAAAATTAAATGTTTCTGAATTTATGTGCATAATCATAAAACGTCAAATATAAAGAAACGGAGGGAGTCGTAATACTTAATAGTTAAGGTATCTTGATTTCTTTTGATTTTGCATTGTTTTGATCTTCATTTTGATTCTATCATTTTGATCATTTAGACGCATTCAACGTTCATTTATGTGCATAGTTGGAGAAATGTTTTGGTGAATTTGAAAGTGATTAGAACATTTTGGAGCAAAATAGTGAAAAATCAGGCTACAATATTTTGGACTAGAAGTCACAGCGGTCAGATATAACGGCCGAGGCCACTATATATATATGAAGTGTGATCCACAACGGACAGACATAATGACATGCGACCTGAGCATAGCGACTACAAAAAATAAAAACTATTGTGTAGCGGTTTAAAGCAGCCGCTTTGGAGCGCAACTTACAACATCCAGCCATAGAGACTTCATGAAGTCATTACAAAATAAGAGAATGTGGGAGCGCTAAGTACCATAACAGCCAACTCGTAGCAGGCAAAGAACTCGCCACCACCATAGTGACCACGCTACAGGCGAAAATCTCACATTTTTCTAATTAAAATTTAAGGTTAACTTAGGTTTGTTTAGGTTGAACCAACTCATTATTGGAATAACTATATATAATTTTAGAGGTCAAAATTAATTTATCTTGTTTTCACTCTCAACACTTTGGTGTAAGATTCAACATTTAGCATCTTTAATTCATTTTCATTTATGATTCTTGGTTTATTGAGTTCTTGCTATATATGTTTAATCTTAACTTACTTGTGTGTAAAGGTTTTCATTATGATTAGTGAGGAGATTCCTTTTGAGCCCATGAGCTTGGTAAATTAGGATGATTGAACGATGATTTAGGGTGTGCAGAGTTAGATTCTTTTTGTTATATGTATTTCGTGTGTTCTTAATGCTAGGTTAGGTTTGATCTACCTAAATCATGAATTCAAATATTTCATGCTCGTAAGGTGTTTGATGAAATGCTTGAACGATTTTCTTTGATTTTTAACTAATGTGAACTGATAATAGAGAAGCTTAGACAGTTCATAGACTTATTAATCATGCATACTTGCTTGCACAAGACCAAATAGAAATTGATGTTTAATGCTTGTTTAGTGTACAGATTAGTACCATATAAGTGGATTAGTCTATTGCTTGTGTATAAACTTATAGACCATGATTGATTGTATGAACACTCCAAATAGGATCTTGATAATTCAAATTCAAAGCCCTTGCCCATGGTTTCATATTACCTCATTGATTGACAACTGTTAGTTCTTTTTTACTTGATTTTGAATTTTATGTTTTTGTTTTGTTACTACTTATTACAACTTGATTGCAATAAAATTAAAATATTGTCTTACATTTTCATTGTTTAGTATCCTTAGAATTGGATTGAAACTTTAACTACTACATTAACAGTAAAGATTGAACTTTATTCATATTAAGTTTTGGCGCCGTTGTTGAATATCGAACCCAGGTCACTCGCATGATATGCATGGAACAAAATTATCTATCAGATCAATATTTGGAGATTACACCATCAGAAAAAGATTCCGTTGGTGGTTCTAAATTATCTATTTTCTTATAAATCTTGTTAGGCAATGCAATTTTTTAAATCTCTATATTCACTATTTATTTATGTGGTCCTGTCTAAAAGAACTGATAAATCTTTGTAACATCTCTTGTTTTTGTGATTATTTTTCCATCAGAGTTCTGGATTCATTTAATACACGTTTTTAAGGTAGAACCACAAAATTCTTAGTTGCAAACAAAAGATGAAGTCACACCAATTAATGTATCACAATAAAACAAAAAAAAACATGATCATATGTTTGTCTACTAGACTATGATGGTACAGTTTGTCTACTAGACTATGATTGTCGCTATATAGGGAAAATGGCCTATTCCTACCCAAACAATTTCAGTCGTGCCAAATACAACCTGAACAAACATCCAGTGCCAAATACGACCTGAACTACGTTATAATGCAAAAATACTACCTGAACAATTTTGATTCTTATAAATATATTAACATATTTTGTAATTATTATATCTTCACTAAACTTATATTATACTAAAATATAAATAATAAAATATTTATAATCATACCAAATTAAATATATTTCATGTTTTTCAACTATTTACAAAATGTCCATATATAAATTATTTTAAAAATAAAAATTAATGGTAATTTATTTTATTTTGGTAAAGTATATTCAGCTAATATTAATTTTAAGAAACACAAGAAATTAACATTCAAGTTTTAAAATAATTTATATATGGACATTTTGTAAATAGTTTTAAAACATGAAATATATTTAATTTTGTATAATTATAAGTATTTTATTATTTATATTTTAGTATTTATAAGTTTATTAAATATGTTAATATATTAATAAGAATCAAATATAATAATAACCAAAGTTTTAATTAGAGAAGATGAAAAAGTATAAAAGCATATATAATTGAAAATTTGTAGTATTATTTAAAAAAAATTGCTTTAAAACTAGTGGTGGATATGTCTGTTTTAAATAGTGGCAAGGCCCGGGTTCGAATCCCGGAATTTTCATATTTTTTAAAAAATAATGAAATCGAAACGCCGTTTTATCATTTTAACGGTTGACTAACTTCTGTTATAGTTAATGTAGGTTTAGGCACTTTTTAAAAAGTTCAGGTAGTATTTTTGCATTATAACGTAGTTCAGGTCGTATTTGGCACTGGATGTTTGTTCGGGTTGTATTTGGCACGATTGAAATTGTTTGGGTAGGAATAGGCCATTTTCCCCGCTATATACATATTCTTCAAATATAATCCATACAACAAATATTTACAGTTTCAGTTGTCCACAGAAGAAAAAAAAAAGATAGTAAAGAGGAATTTAATCACTGATAATGGTTCTAGCGGTTGAAATTTTTTTGATTACTATTCTAAAACATGATTTTACATTTTTTAGTTGTGTTTTTATTCATTCTTGACCACTTATAGATGTTTTGGGTGGCAAAACATTCACTTTTGCGAGTTTCACGTATCAGAAGTAACTCGGTCTCATTCTAGTCAAAACCAAGAAGAAAGAAACAATAAAAGTTGTTTGCTACAGAAGAAATAGGAAGCAAAACTTGCACCACCTATATAGTTAAACTAAAAAACATGATTGAAGCAACTATTTATTTTTTCTTTTTAATTAAACAGAACAATTTGTTTTTTCCTTATGCTCCATCTATTTCATATTAAGTGTCATTTTACCTCTGTGCATACGGATTAAAGATATAATTAATTTTACATATTTTCTGTATAAAAATACAATTACCTATACACTTAATCATATTTTAACCAATAGAAAAATAAATAACATAATAAAATTAATAGATTTTCTATTGAAAGTTAGAAACAACATTTATTTTTCAACGAAAAAAATTCTCTAAAGCGATACTTAATATGGAACGGATGGAATATTTGGTTGGATATGCCAAAAATGATCATGTCTAATGTACGAAACTTCTTTTTTTGCCAAAGGCCAAGCACGGAAAAATTAATATTCACAATAAAACTGAAAACAAAAATCTAACTCAATAATAACCTCATAAACTGATAATATTCTTGGAACGAACGTAAACCATATGTAGTATATAACTATAATCTACGGTATTCTTCTATTAATTTTTGTTGATGTCAACTACAATAATTTTATCGGATTACTAGTTTAACTTCAGTTATGCCACGATGTTTCTGTTACTCTGTATAATATATATGGTCATTAAGAAAAACGAAACACAGAAGCTCACTATTCTTAGAGCACCCATATCGCAAAGAAATATTGGGTGCTTAGCCCTTAGGGGCTCACCAAAACGCCAAACAACGACGCCTCTCGATGCTAAATAAGCGTTCTATTTTTATTGGTGCTTTGACTGTTCGTGGGCTCTACTGACACGTGGCGGTCCGCAATTAATTGCTTTTTAAATCGCACCCCTTTTTGGTGATTTTAGAGCACCTTTAACGCGGTTACGTAGGGTTATTAGAATTAAAAATAAAATATATCAATTGGATTAAGCAACGTAGCTTAATCAAGCGATAGCAGACACGGTGCTTAGGACACGCGTCTCTCTCTCCTGTTTCCTGTCCAATCTTCTTCGGCGACAAGAGAATCAGAGAAGAAACGACCAGAGAAGCTGTTTTCGTCGTTGCTACCATGCGCACCTCCGATGAATCCTCCTCTATCACTTTCAAGGCTTTCTCTGAACCACTCTGTCTCGAAATCTAGCTTCTCACTCCATACTAAGGCGAGACGAGAGGTTCTCGTTAGAGCAGAAGGTGAAACTGAAGGTGAAGCAGAGGAAGCTGTTGATGCTATCGCTGATACTGAGGGTAATGTAGAAGATGTAGTCAAAGATGATGAAGCCAAAGCTCCAAGAAAGCCAAGATTCAAGCTTAGAGACGTAATGGGGTTAAGCTTTAAGGGACTTTGTTTCTTGATTAGTAGTGATTCCAGTGCTATTAACTGTTCTTGTTTGTGTGTAGATACTGAACCAGAGAGCAATTGAAGTATCAGAGAAAGTGAGACATGTTCCTGAAATCAGGACTGGAGATATTGTTGAGATCAAACTGGTAAAGTTCTTGATTGATGCTTGGAAGCTTCTTATATGATTGTGTTGAATCAAAATTTTTGAATCTTTGTGATATTGGTATTTTTACTCAGGAAGTTCCAGAGAACAGACATAGGTTGTCTATCTACAAAGGCATAATGATGTATAGACAGAACGCTGGGATACACACTACCATTCGTATTCGCAGGATTATTGCTGGTATCGGTGTTGAAATCGTGTTTCCCATGTAAGCTTCTGAGCTTTTACGTTTTGAATCATGGCTGGATTTTCAATGAATCCCAACTTATATGTAGACATGGTTATGTACAAGAAAGATGAAAACGCACCTTTTCATATTCTAGTATACGACATAGTTGCTTCTTGTGCTGCTTTGTTTCTCGGTTATGTGGCTTTATTCAAGAAAGATAGAGGCAGCAGCAATGGAGTTCTTAACCACAAGTTGTAGACATAGAATTAAAGATCATGTCCTTAACCACAAGTTGTAGATATTGAAGTCTTTCATGGTGACTTTTTGAGCCTAAATCCGGAAGACCCTTCTTTTGCAGAAGTAAGCATTACGTAGTCTGAGATATGGTTATCTACTTTAGGATCATTTCCTGGTTTAGATTGTCTTCATGTGCCCACAATTAGAAAAAGTGAACAACCATAAAAAGTTACTATTATCTAGAGTCATGTAGCTTAAGTAGATGTAGTCACTTGAACCATCGTTCTGAATGCTTGTGTGTGGCTGATTATCATAGGTTCGAGCTATATTGTTGGATCCTTCTTTCTCTGGCTCCGGAACCTTTACAAATCGTATGGACCATCTCCTTCCTTCTCATTCAGCAGGTTTCAGTTTGAGCTCAGATTTTCTTTAAAATTATTCTCGATTATTTTACTAATCTATGTTTTTATTAAAATTCTATGTTTTAAATGTATCTTTTAATATGTCTTGTATAATAAATAAAATTTATCTTAAATAAAATAATGTTTAATATTCTTTTTAAGAACCTCAAATAAAGAGTCTCCCCTTGAAGCATGAAAATGTTCGAAGTTCTTAGCGTTGGCTCTTAAATCATTTTTACAACTAAAAATTAATAAAAAAAGAATAAGCAACCTAAATTAAGTATTTGGGTTAATGGTGCTCTTACGTCTCTGGCACTATTTACTCAAAATAATGGCAAGTATCATAATGAAGGAGACCAGCTGAGTAGGGGTGGTTTCTTCCTTTCGTTCTGGTATGGGGTGGTCTCCTATCGGAATCTATATAATAATGATTCACTTTTGAAGCTCCTAAGGCTATCCAGGTCAGCAGCTGAGTGGGCCCCGCGCCTGTGTTATTTGGGAAAAAAAAACGTATAAGATTTTTTAACATTGAATGTTATCAACGAATGAAGATTTGGCCGAGTGGTTTATGCTGAAAGATGAGAAGTTTGTACCGTGAGTGCGCGGGTTCAAAACACAGTGCGTGCATTTATTTTTTTCTCCATTTGGGCTTTTGGGTTTCATGTGGGCTGTAGGGTTTGGATTGGGCTTTTTAGGTCTCAACCTCATAATCTTTCTCTGCCGCGTTTCCCCTTCCAGACGACTTCACTCACGATCTACCTCCTTCATGAGCTTCAATGGTGACCTTCGAAATTCAACCGTAACTGTTCTTACTCTCAGCTTCCTTTATATAAAGGTGTTAGATGCTTGTCTTTCTTCTCTTCCTCTCATTTTTCGTATGCCTCTCCATATTTTATTCAGAAGCACGATCTACATAATGATTTCATCAGGTTCTCAGATCCCTTTCCGGCGCCGTCACCCCCTTCAACTCCCTCCGCCTTGGAAGAACTTCACAGAGCATTGTTGGCCGGCTCACACGTTTCTGGGACTCCCACAATGTTATCAAGAATCAGTTCATGGGCATAACCGTTCTTCTCCTTGATCAAGAGGTATGTATTTTTTCGTTTTCCATATTTTTTTTTAATTAAATAAGCTACTTGAGTCTGGTGTATGATTGTTTATTTTATATTAGATGTAGAACCTGAAACGGCGTGTTATTGTTGTTGTTTTTGTGGTTTTTGTTTTGTTTAGATCTACAAGTTTTATCAAACGGCGAGAAGCTATGCATGGAATGCTGAAGACAGTTGGTTCTAACAATAAGCACCCTAAACCTATCAAGGTAAGCACCCTTTCTTTTCTCCAGTTACCATACTTGAATTTGAAGTCTCTTGATCAATTTCTTTATTGTTGTTGTTTCAAGATTTTTTGAAATAGATGACGTGGCCTTATTGGATAAAACAAAAGATGTCGGTGCATCCAATCGCCGTCATCTCGCTGCACACCACTGTGGTGTTACTTCTGGATTTGAGGTATATAGTGTTTTTTTTTTCCATAGCTCATTGTCTTAGCCATGGATGGTACTTAAAAAAAATCTTATATGTATGATTCAGCTTATACATGGCCTCGTCGATAGAGTCATGGAAGTAATGGGAGTCCTATTTGTATCAAACGGTGACAATACATGATACTATATAAACCCCTCCGAAGTAAGCTCTTATATTTGCGAGTTACATTGTCTTTGATCAGCACTACGCAGACACTCTAAACTATTTCTTTGTTCTTATCTGCCGAAGGAACCTGAGTTCTTACATGGTAGACAAGCCAGTATCATTTGCAAAGGGAAACATGTTGGTAACTTTGGAATCGTGCATCCCGAGGTACACTTTCTTCATCCTGTTTTTGATTATAAAAATCCGCATATCAAACGGTTTTGTTTCTGATTATTTGATTTTTGGTCCAGGTTTTGAACAACTTTGACATCACTGATCCATGCTCTTTCGTGGAGATTGACATCGAAGCTCTCCTTTAGAGAAAGCTTCTACTATATCTGGATATGTGCTCAACTGTTACAAAATTCTTGGTTTTATTTGTTTTAAGGATAAAGAGATGAATGGTCATACAAATCATTTAGCTTTTTCGTTTGAAGGATTAAATTGTTTGCAGTTTCGCATAGACATGACTGTAAACTGGAGTTCATTTCATGAATAAACATTAAACAATGTTCTCCTCAAATCAATATGTGTGACTTCTAACCAAATGTATACCACTATGAAATTTTAACTATATAAATAGCCAATTTTTAAAAGAGCCAATTATCACCAACAACAATTAACTAAATAACTAA